TAACTCAGCCAATTTCATTATGTCTGTGTAAAAGCGTACACCCCCATCCAACCGTTGATAAAATAGTCACTTTTATAGTCATCTTTTTTTTTTTCCTCCCCCAGACGGTCGCTATTGTTTCCCCAAGAAAAGCTTGGCGCCTGGGGTGTCTACTAATGTTCCAGTAACACGTGCGCTTAAGTGATACCAGCATAAAGTTGATGCAAAGGTTATTTAAAATAAAATAATTGTTCAGCAGCGAGATCGTTCCCCCTCCCTTCACCCCTTAAATCTAGGGTTCATGCACCAAACATGAACCATTTCTTTGTGAACTATTTCAGCCCCACTTGTGTCAGTTAAATAATGTATGTCACAGACAGCCAATGGAGAACAGAGCCAGTTACCAATCCCAGCACGCTAAAAAAAAAAATAAATAAATAAAAAATGATGTCAACGATCTTTGATTCTATTGTGTGCAAGATCAACGTAAAGCTGAATAAGATAGTAGCAGCACTCAACAACTGTTCAATGTACAGTATATGAAAGCAGTAAATCTGGTCTACGCAAAAAAGAAAGAAAAAAACAGAAAAAAGTCAGATCACATTGTTTAAAAAAAAAAAATAAAAAATTATTTTTTAAAAAAAAAAAAAAAAAATATATATATTATATATATATATATATATATATATATATATATATATATATTCAATTTCATTAACAATGCAATATCTGACCTTTGTGGACACTTAATTTTTTTCTTTTTTGGCAATTGTATGTAACCAGACTTACGGCTTACATGTGCAATGGCTGAGTGTGGCTACTGTCTCACACAGCACTAAGAGCTTGCGCAGAATTTAATGAAATTGCTGACATTAATTTTTCTAGTGTCATGGAATCTTAACTGACCCCATTCTCAATTGGCTGTCTGTAAAGTATCTTGTACCATCCATACAAAAGTAAATAAATAAATACAAAGTGCGATGCAGTAAAATCACAGATACTCTTTATCAGTGTGTGTATAGATAGAAAGATTATTAATACTATTATTATATTAATAATTTGATGAGGATTATTATTATTACACATCCATACACAAAGCATATACCAATATAATGTATCTATAATTTTAGTGTATGTATAGCCAAAACCTTTTTTAGTTTGGGATGGAATAGGCAAGGATGAGCTGGGAAAAGCTACAGAAAATCAAAACTGTTACAGTTGTCACCAGAACAAGAGGTGAGTGAAAATCTTCCAATGGGGACACTGTCTAAAGGCTCATTTACAGTCTGTCCATTAAGCTGCATTCATCTGTACAGATCAATTGTTTTCTATGTATATGCCCTGCTCACATCATACATGTGCACTCTGCATGCGTTTTTATGCAGTGCAACAGGTTGCAATACACCGTGGTGCGTAGTTGGATAGGGAATCATTGTGTGAGACTTTGATAAAAAAAAAAAAAAAATGAAGAAACAAAGTAAGCAGTGTGATACACTGTAACAACATAAAGCACCGCCCCTACATAAACGTATATCCAATACGCACGTGCTTCTCTGTGCTGGTGTAAACAAGCCGCCCTTTTACAGCGACTTTTTGATCAGGTCTACATGTCAGTTTTTCAGGCAGACCTGACCAGAAGGTTCATGCAACTTTATGGACAGGCGGACGTAAACAATCCATTCAGGGCCAGAAAAAAAAAAAATGTGAAGAAATGGCCTGATGTAAAACGGTTTCTGTTTACATTCAGCCACCCATAGAGCTTCACGTTTGCCCATGTCCTGACACAAACTGACACCACACATTCATACCATGAATCACACAGGTATGCGCTGTGCGTTCCTCTGCAAATCACGTGATCTGGGTGCTGATTTCAGCCTATTTTGAATAGGTTAAGATTGCGCTGGACCGCATCAAAAGTTGTGCATGCTCTACTTCATAAAACGCACAGCAACTAGATCACATGGTAATGCTGTACTGCATTTGAGAGCTACGTATGGGGTGTCATTGAGTGAACATTGGCACCCGCTGCAGATCACAACTACAGTGCATTTTGAAAACAGTGCGGGAAACGCAGGTTTCCGGAACCACATTCTGGTGTGAACTAGCCCTTAAAGTAAAAAAACAAAAAAAAACCTGACATCTGCCCTGTCCATCTCTGATTTGGCAGGGGATCTGCTCATGGATCCCTTGTTGATCAGAGCAGACCCCACTCTGTGTGGTCAAATCCTTAGGCTACTTTCATGCTGGCCAGCGGTTTTACCTCGTTTGTGGTGCGCTTTTTACAGGACATGCGACTCAAAAACCGCACCAAAAATTCAACACGGGTGCGTTTTTTAAGTGTTTTCATTGATTTCAATGGGGTTTGTGTTTGCATGGGCACAGCAGCCTATTCCTTTCCAAGGGCTGTTGAACCTGCGGGAAACACAGGAAAAAGGTCCCTGCACCTTTTTCAAATCACAGCCGCATGGAAATGCATTTCGCTTTTGCACCATGCAATTTCCCATTTTCAGATGTGTAGGGAAACTTAAGAAACAATGGCATCCCCACGCATCTGCTAAAAAGCAGCGCATTCTGCCTATGGGTGCGGGAACGAGTGCAAATTACAGACGTTCCTGCATCAGCATATATGTGAATCTAGCCTTAGAAGCTTTATAAGAACTTCCTGTTGCATCCCCTGGACAGGAAGTTAAAGTGGTTCTAAAGTTTTCTTTTTGTGTTTTTTTAAAGAAGAAATACCAAAACACGTCTATACTTATCTGCTCTGTGTAGTGGTTTTGCACACAGCAGCCCGGATCTCTCTTTTCTCAGGTCCCCCGCAGGCTCTCCTGTCTGGTGCCCCCCACAGCAAGCAGCTTGCTATGGGGGCACCTGCTGCTCCATGTGTCCATTCACACACAGAGCCACGACTCAGCCCCGCCACCTCTCTCTTCTCATTGGCTCACTTGCAGTGATTGACAGCAGTGGGAGCCAATGGCTCCTGCTTCTGTCTCAGCCAATGAGAAGAGGGAGTCCAGGGATAGCCAAGACTCCAGTGCACATCGCTGGATTGAGAGGGGGCTTATGTGAGTATTAGGGGGGCTCAGGGGGATGCTGCATAAAATGCATGAAGGTAAAAAAACATTGAGCCTTTAGAACCACTTTTAAGGATATCTCCAAAACACAGCAAAAAATGGGTTTTACCCTTTCCCTACACATAACTAAACAAAAAAAAAAAAAAGTTTTGGCAGCACACGCACTTTAGTTAGCAGCGCAACTCTCCAGCCAAAAGCAGACAATGCTCCAAAATCAACATCACAAGACAAATACCTCCTTGGAGGTTGACCGGTGTCACAATGATCCCTTTGGCTTCAGTGACGGGGAGTCCAGCCCGTAGCGACCACCATCCAGCGCGGCTTTGTTGCCCGGCTCCTGCGCCGTCACATTCACAATGGCATTGAAATAATCCACACTGGTGGTCTCCGAGCCGCCCCGGACCACAGAGCAAGGCAATAGGACCAGCAAAGGCAAACAGTTCAGACAGCGCAGCCACCGTCCCCCAATCATTTCTTTGTGGTTATTTGAAAGTCGGCCAATACAAAAAAAACAATCCTTTGGTACGAAATAGTGCAACAATGTATAACCTAGATCCCTTGTCAGTGAAGATCCAGAGCCTGTTCAATGTTACATCATAGAGCAGGGACTGGGGCTAGTCCTGGAGCAGAGGATGGAAGAACAACTGACTTGTAGGAGCAGGGCAGGACATGGGCAGATGGGAGCTGTAGTCCTGATCCAGGATGGCTGAACCCCCCCACCATAGCCCAGGGCGATGATCACACACCCCCCATCCGGCTCTGGTCTATGGAGGAGGCTGAGGAGCTGTCCCTGGTCCTGATGCTGCGGTTGCCCGGGGTGACGCTCCAGATGCCCCCACAGCTGCCACACACTGTGACTCTGCTCTCTGCCCCGGGCACTTGGAATGCAGCTGAACACACAACACCGAGCTGGAAGTTTCTTCTGCTCTCCCGCACGGCTCGGACTGTACAGCGGGCTGTGTATAGACGTCCGGTGATCCCGGAGACCGAGGCACGGGAGGAGGGGTGGGGGGAACAGACAGCGGCGGAGCGGATACACAGCACACAGCCCGGAACTGCTGCTGCTGCCGTCGCCGGCGCAAGCAGACTCAAGGAAGAAGGCAGAGCTAGACAGAGCAGACGGGACGGTCCGCCCACTCCACGCCCCTTCACGTGATCGGCACCCCTAGCGCCCCGCCCGCTCCTGTCAGCCGGCGAATTTCGCGCCTGCGCGTTATAGTGTGACCTGTCAGTGGCAGCAGATGGGGTGTGCAGGCTGCAGAGTTCAAAGTGTTTCATGTTGCTGTTTTTTTTTTTTCTGTTGTTGTTTATATCTATTTAACCATTAGCCTACAGGGCACTTACACCCCCTTCCTGCCCAGGCCAATTTCCAGCTTTCAGCGCTGACACACTTTGAATGACAATTGTGCGGTCATGCAACACTGTACCCATATGAGATTTTTATCATTTTTTTGTGACAGATAGAGCTTTATTTTGGTGGTATTTAATCACCTCTGGGTTTTTTATTTTTTCTTAAACAAACCAAAACCACTGAAAATTTTGAAAAACAAAGTTTTTTCTTAGTTTTTGTTATAAAAATTTGTAAATAAGTGATTTTTCTCCTTCACTGATGTGCGCTAATGAGGCTGCAGTGATGGGCACTGATAGGCTGCACTGATGGACACTAATAGGTGACACTGATGGGCACTGATGAGGAGGCACTGGTAGGTGGCACTGATGGGACATTGACAGGCATCACTGAGGGGCACTGAAAGGCAGCACTCATATATGGCACTGATAGGCGCACTGATAGGTGGCACTGATAGGCGGCATTGACTGGCACTGATAGGCGGACACTGACTGGCACTGTTATATGGTACTAACTGGCACTGTTAGGTGGCACTGATAGGCAGCACTGACGGGCACTGATAGGCGGCACTGACTGGCACTGACAGGCAGCACTGATTGGCAGCACTGATAGGTGGCACTGATTGGCAGCACTGATAGGTGGCATTGACTGACACTGATGGGTGACACTGAAAGGCAGCTCAGATGGGTACTGCTATGTGGTATTGATGTGCACTGGTAGGCACTGATATGTGGCATTGATGTGGCACTGATGGGCTCTGGCAGGTGGCATGAATGAGCACTGACAGCTGGCACTGATGGACACTGACAGGTGCCACTGCTGGGGATACACAGATCATCATGGCATACTGATCATCAGTGCCCTGATGATCAGTGTAGATGTCCCCTCTGAGGGATGCCAATTACCGGCTCTCCTCTCGAGCTGTCAGCATGACAGCTCGAGAGGAGAGAAATGCCGATAACCGACATTTCCCTATTTACATGTGATCGGCTGTGATTGGACACAGCTGATCACATGACCGAGCCAACATCTTCGGCTCTTTCCGTTGATCTGTGATCCGTTGTGTCCGAGGGACACAGCGCAGCCATCGATCGCCGCGCTCTCCCGGAGTCGCGCATGCGCGGTTAGAATGGGATGACGTCATATGACGTCATCCCAGAATGAGAGATCCACCTTGCGCCCATCATTGTACTATATGGTGGGCGGGAGGCGGTTAAAGGATAAAGCCATGGGTTGAATTCTGAAAGAATTTTCTTTCGAAAATCTTTTCTAAGAATTTTCGTTCGAATTTCGCACCAGTAATGGGCCACAGAAATGGCCAATTTTCGTGCGACCATCGAATTTAGGTGATCAGGCATATTGGAAATTTTTTGAAAAACAAATTTCTAATCAATGATGGGAGAATCATGCAAAAAATATAATTGAAAAAGAAACAAACATGAGCTGTGACCTGGAAAGAAAACAAAAATTCTTGACCATGAAAATTCTTTTCTGTAGCAACATGTAAAATTGAAGGTTTGGTTGGTCGAATTTCGAAATCAATGGTGGAACCATCGGATTACAAAATGCACAAAATTTCTGATTTTCTAAAGAAAATTAGTTTGGCATTCAACCCATTTATGGCCTGCATTAGTTCACCTTTTGGACAAAAAAAATGTACATTTTTTTGCAGGTAAAAAAATGTGCATTTATTATTTTTGTCCAAAGGAGCCTGGAAAGCAATGCACCAGCTATCAGCTGATCTCCTGCAGAACTGTCAGAATATCTGCTTGCCGTACGGGATGTACGAGCAGGGCTGCTGTTAGAAACCATGGGGCCCCATACGGCCAACCTGAAAGGGTGACCCCCCCCCAACCAAAAAACAAAACACAGTTATGAATGAACACGGTGAGTGATCGGTACTGATCACTTATTGTGTTCATTCAGGAAAGGAAGGGCTGGTAAATGTGACATATTTACCAGACCTTTCCCCCACTCGCTATCCTGATTGATCCTATTGTGTGCATGCAGTTGCCGTTTGGAAGGAGAGGAGGAAAGGTGACAGTACTGTGAGGGTAGGGGCACACAGGGGGCCTAGGCAGTAGGGGAAATGTATTGTGTGCAGGGAAGGTAATGCGTGCTGTAGGAGGGGCAAATACTGGGACCAATCCCGTCTGACTCTCTCTGCTTCAGCTGAAAGTCAGTGGGGGGGGAGAAGCCATCTTTCAGCTGCAGCAGAAAGAGCCATACAGGGAATCTCAGTAATTTCTCCCCCAGCCACACCATTCACCATTTCTGCCCACATCCAATTCCCCCATCTGATGGGGCCCCCTGCTTGCCTGGGCCCCATACAGGAGAACTGGTGCTACCCCCATATCCATGACCCTGTGTATGAGCAAGAAGATATTCTGAGAAAAGCTTCAATGAACTACCACGACGCTCACTCCACAGTACTGTGATAGTTCATTAAAAACTAGAAGCCCACAGCCACTAAGACTGTTGGGATTTGTAGGCACTTATTCACAGAACTCTGTGAATGAGTGACACCGCTGTGTGGACAGAGCCCTGCAAGGTCTCGCTGTTTTCAAATCTGACAGATGGTACAGGGAAACTTCTCCCCGTACTATCTGTCAGAGGGAGGGGGGCAGCGGGCGCAGCTGCAGCTATGGGAACATGGGAACATATTCCACCCTAAAAATGGGGGAACATGTAACATGTTCCAAAGGTGAACTTATCATTTAAAGTGTTACTAAACCCAGGACCCTGCAGTCACTATATTATTATACAGTATTTATATAACGCCAACCGTTTGCACAGCGCTTTGCAAAATGAAGGCAGACATTACAGTTACAATACACTTTGGTACAAGAAGAATAAGAGGTCCCTGCTCGTCAGAGCTTACAATCTAAGATAACTATATCTGGTCTCCCACAGTACACAGAAATGCAATTATTTTAGTAAATATAAACTGCAAAATACCTTTTCTCATCAGCAGTTAGAGCAGTCTTGTGACTTCTATCAGGGTCCAGCAGAGCACTGGTTAAAGCTTGTAGGATGAATTTGCATTCTCCCCTGATGCAGTATTTCCAGCTCCTTAGGCTGTGTAAACCCCATGTGTATAAAACTAAGCAAGAAAATGTAACAGTGTTGTTTGTAAAAAAAGGATATGGCATTTTTAGTGATTAAACGTCTTACTAAACCCAGGATCCTGCATTCACTATATCTAGTCTCCCACAATACATAGAACATGGAAATGCAAATAGTAAATATAAACTGCTAAATACCTTTTTTTTTCTCATCAGCAGTTAGAGCAGTCTTGTGACTTCTATCAGTGTCCAGCAGAGCACTGGTTAAAGCTTGCAGGAGGAGTTTTTGTTCTCCTCTCGCTGTCCTATGAGGCTGCATAACCCCTGACCCTCTGGACAGCACTGATTGGCCATGTGCTCTCTCCCAAGAAAAAACACTCTAGGAATACACACCAAACTAATTATGTGCAGCTTGCCCCCAAGGTTCTGTTCTATCAGCAGATGGATGGGGGACAGTAGAAGAGGGGGAGGAACAGAGAAGACAGGATTAAACAGCCTTTTTACACAATGCGGAGGATTAACCCCTTAGGTTCCGCAGTGAGTATAACAAGCATTCTTGACTGCACATAAAGACTGTATTTACTGATATGGGTTTAGTAACACTTTAATTTATTACATTAAAAATTAAGAATTCTACTTCCTTGCAAATGCAGAGCACTTTCATATCAGTTTTGGCAGCTAGTACTAGCTAGTTAGTGGTTGATATGAAAGGACCACGCATTGCTGGGAATGGTTAAAATAGTCAAAAAGGCCTATCCTAATTATGTACAATGTGTTTAAACAAAAATTTAATTTTACCTATATTACAGGATCACCATGTTTATAACCGACTGTTCTTTGTCTAAAGAATTTTTTTAAAGAATAGAAAATGTGTTATATTTATAGTAATATTTTTATATTAACAAAAGTAGACAAAATATACTTTAAAAAATGAAGCCAGACAAATAATTAAACAATGGTGGGTGTACATTTTATATGCACATTGTTTTCCATTGCAGTTCCTTAGACTGGTTGATACTAAAGGCAACCCTTGCTGCCCCTCTGAAATGCCCTCTGCGGCAGGGATGGATCTAGCCTGTCTGATATGGCGGTGTAGTAAAAAATGTTAGGTGGGCAGAGGATGGCAGATCAGTAGTTTGTAAGGCAGTGTACAGGGGTCAGCAGGGTGGAGGACAAGGGTCAGAAGGGCAATGTTCAGGGTCAGCAGGGTGGAGGACAAGGTTCAGAAGGGCAATGTACAGGGTCAGCAGGGTGGAGGACAAGTGTCAGAAGGGAAATGTACAGGATCAGCAGGGTGGAGGACAAGGGTCAGAAGGGCAATGTACAGGGTCAGCAGGGTGGAGGACAAGTGTCAGAAGGGCAATGTACAGGGTCAGCAGGTTGGAGGACAAGTGTCAGAAGGGCAATGTACAGGATCAGCAGGGTGGAGGACAAGTGTCAGAAAGGCAATGTACAGGGTCAGCAGGGTGGAGGACAAGTGTCAGAAAGGCAATGTACAGGGTCAGCAGATTGGAGGACAAGGGTCAGAAGGGCAATGTGCAGGGTCAGCAGGGCAGAGTTCAGAGGTCAGTAATGAGTAATGCAGAGTTCAAAGTTCAGTAGTAAGTAAAGCAGAGTTTAGAGGTCAATAATAAGTGATGCATAGGGCAGATTTTGCCTAACAGTGGGAGGGGATTAAAGGGGGATGAATAAACAGAATCTTTGCCTGGTCACTGTATACACTGCACACATTTATCAGAGTCCTATTACCCACAAAATACTCTTACTTGCTGTGTCCAAGTGACAGTTTCACAGCTACACATAAACTTCAGAACATAGGATAATTTTTAAAAACGTAAACATTTCCATCACATACAGGTGAAACTCAAAAAATTAGAATATCGTGCAAAAGTTCATTTATGTCAGTAATGCAACTTAAAAGGTGAAACTCATATATGAGATAGACTTGTTACATGCAAAGCAAGATAGTTCAAGCCGTGATTTGTCATAAAGTGTGATGATTATGGCTTACAGCTCATGAAAACCCCAAATCCACAATCTCAGAAAATTAGAATATTGTGAAAAGGTGCAATATTCTAGGCTCAAAGTGTCCCACTCTAATCAGCTAATTAAGCCATAACACCTGCAAAGGGTTCCTGAGCCTTTAAATGGTCTCTCAGTCTGGTTCAGTAGGAATCACAATCATGGGAAAGACTGCTGACCTGACAGTTGTGCAGAAAACCATCATTGACACACTCCATAAGGAGGGAAAGCCTCAAAAGGTAATTGCAAAAGAAGTTGGATGTTCCCAAAGTGCTGTATCAAAGCACATTAATAGAAAGTTATGTGGAAGGGAAAAGTGTGGAAGAAAAAGGTGTACAAGCAGCAGGGATGACCGCAGCCTGGAGAGGATTGTCAGGAAAAGGCCATTCAAAAGTGTTGGGGACTTTCACAAGGAGTGGACTGAGGCTGGAGTCAGTGCATCAAGAGCCACCACACACAGACGGATCCTGGACATGGGCTTCAAATGTCGCATTCCTCTTGTCAAGCCGCTCCTGAGCAACAAACAACGTCAGAAGCGTCTTACCTGGGCTAAAGAAAAACAGAACCGGTCTGTTGCTCAGTGGTCCAAAGTCCTCTTTTCTGATAGAGCAACTTTTGCATCTCATTTGGAAACCAAGGACCCAGAGTATGGAGGAAGAATGGAGAGGCACACACTGCAAGATGCTTGAAGTCCAGTTTGAAGTTTCCACAGTCTGTGTTGATTTGGGGAGCCATGTCATCTGCTGGTGTTGGTCCACTGAGCTTCATTAGGTCCAAGGTCAAAGCAGCCGTCTACCAGGATATTTTGGGGCACTTCATGCTTCCTTCCGCAGACGAGCTTTATGGGGATACTGACTTCATTTTCCAGCAGGACTTGGCACCTGTCTACACTACCAAAAGCACCAAAACCTGGTTCAATGACCGTGGGATTACTGTGCTTGATTGGCCAGCAAACTCGCCTGACCTGAACCCCAT